TTGTTGAGATGTGTACGGACAAGATGTTTGATGAATAATCCCATGAGATTTCATAAACTGCTGGAATAGGGAAGACAAATACTCGCGGGCATTATCACTACGAAATGTGCGTATAGAAACCCCAAATTGATTTTGAATTTCAGCGTGGAAGGTCTGGAAAATAGAAAACAGCTCGGATCGATTTTTTATCAAAAATATCCAAGTGCACCTGGAATAATCATCAATGAAACTGACAAAGTAGCGGAATCCCAAGGTGGAACTGACCCGACTAGGACCCCAAACATCTGAATGGACTAAAGTAAAAGGTGACTCTACTCAATTATCAAGACGCCGAGGGAAATGGGAGCGAGTATGCTTACCGAGCTGACATGACTCACACTTTAGAGCTGACAAATGAGATAAACCAGATACCATTTTTTGAAGTTTTGACAAACTGGGATGTCCCAATCGTTTATGTAATAAATCTGGTGAATCAGTAACAGGACAAGTTGTAGAAAGAAGACAAGATGTGAGTCCATGTGATTTAGCAAGGATAAGGTAATAAAGTCCGTTTGATTCACGCCCGGTACCAATGATCCGCCCCGTACCGCGTTCTTGTATAAAAACATGGTCATCAAGAAATAAAACAACACATTTAAGTGATTTGGCTAAGCGACTAACAGCTATGAGATTAAAAGGACTATTGGGAACATAAAGGACTGAATCTAAAGGTAAGGAAAGAAGTGGGCTTGCTTGACCTATTGCAGTTGCCATGGTTTGAGACCAATTGGCCATTGTGACTTTTGGAAGAGATTGAGAAAACGAAATAGTAGTGAAAAGAGATTTGTTACCAGAAATATGATCTGATGCACCTGAATCAATGACCCAAGACTCAGAGGATGAAGATAGGGAGAAACAAGTCACACTATTACCTGTTTGAACAACAAAAGCTATCTCAGAAGATGTCTGCTTGCATGCTTTGTACTGAAGAAACTCAATATAATCTGATAAAGAAACCATCCGACTATTCAAAGCATCGGTTCCCTTGTCGCTACAATTTTTAGTAGGGTTAACTTGAAATAGTGGAAATAAGTAACTCCTGTGAGAAAACTGAAGAAATAGCTTGAAAAACACTGTTTACAGCAGGAAAACAAAACACTGTTCTGCGCCGGAAACACTGTATCTCGCCGGAAAATTCCAAAGTCGTCGGAATTTGTCGTAACCAGGATGGATAGACTCGGAATTCCCTTGCGAGCAAGTTGTCCTAAAGAAATGTTTTCAAAAACAAATGGCCGGAAAGGTCACTGTTCACGCCGGAAAAATATAAAAGTGGTCGGAATTTGATTTGAATTAGATGGGTAGGCTCGGAATTTTGAGGAGAGCACACTGTCATAAAGAAGTTTCGCCAAAAAATGGCCGGAAAGTGACCGGAACCCTCGCCGGAAAAGTTGTTGTCGCCGGAGCGTGAAGGAGCGTGGCGGCTTTTCTGCCGGAAAATATTTCAGGGGTTGGTCGTCGGAGGGTGATCTACCTCGTGGTGGTGTTGGTTTTAGCACAACACCGACAGAAAGTGACTTTCACTTAGACAAGCCTTAGGTCATTGGAAAAATTGCACGATGACTAAGTTCTTTCTTCCCGGTTAACGCTGGAATGACGCACAGCGATCTTTTCTCACTAATGCTCTGATACCATGTGAGAAGGCACGGGAGAAAATATGTTATTGATATTGAATAATAAATACAATACAAGAGGTCCCTATTTATAGCTATACACTGCAAAGAGATATTACTCCTCTTCCAATGTGGGACAAGACTACACTATACATTATACGTAAACTAACAATATCAATTACTAATGTGACTGGAAGTGCCTCGTATTCAAATATACATCTCTGGAAATTCCATAAGTGTCCCAGACTATGCATAGGTACGTACTTGTTGAGGACCTGAGCATTACTGTGTAAATGTACCAAATGTAGTTTATCCAGCTGCATTCTTTGAATAGGGGGCACAGTAGGATGGCACAAACAGTGCAAAATGGTATCATTGTAAAATCCTATATGGTGCTCTTAACAATTGAAAACTCGAAAAGAAATAGAGACACCAATTAACTAAAGTTCCAGTTAACTATGAAAAATTGAACAGGGCTTAAATAAAAGATGATATCTCCAGTAGAGTGAATTTTGCTCTCATTACTACTAATTGCCACCATCTGTTAACAACATCATTACAAAATCTAACAAGCAAACTGTAAATTTTGAGAAGAAGAAAGGCTTCTTATATTTCTGTGTATGTTTACATCCCATGAGCAAGGGAATTTATACAAAGCTCCTAATGCTAATAAAGGAAATAAAATAAATCTATACAATCAATTCAGCTATCAAATCAAATCGAATAAAATTAGATCTCCTAAATATAACCAAATCTCCTGAAATCATGCTAGCCAACACTCCTAAATCAAATCTTCTTGAATCATGCTAATCAACATTACCCCTCAAGTTGGTGCAAAGATGTCGCACGTGCCCAACTTACAACTCAAAGTATGGAAAGTTCACTTGTTGAGACTTTTGGTAAACACATCAGCTAGCTGTTTTTCTGTTAGCAATAGGCACATTTAACTCATTAGGAAATGTAGCTAACTCACCAGTAGAAAAAGGTTCAGCTTTAGTAGATTGCATGATGGCTTCTTCTACTCTATTTCTCCTTGAGTAAGTTTTCAAATCAGGCCTAACCAAATGCCCAATAGTCTCCCCTGAATTGTTTTCTCCAATTTCACTTTACTTGTGACAATATCATCAAGAGATCCAATAATGGAAATAGGTAGAATCACCTCTTCCTCCTTACTATTCTTCCCCTGAAAAGGTGATGAAGTAATACTGAAATAGGGCTCAGATTCTCGAAAGGTAACATTCGTGCTAACAAAAGATCTCCTAGAGGGAGGATGATAACATTTGTAGCCTTTCTGTGTCGGAGAATATCCAATGAAAACAAAGTTTACAGCTCTAGGATCAGGTTTCCTAGAATTTCTATGGTGGACAAATCAAACACACCCAAACACCTTTGGAGGAACAGTATATTCATTCTTACCCTTTAACGCTTCCAGAGGACTTTGAAAATTGAGGGGTTTAAGTGACATTCTGTTGATAAGATAGGCAGCCGCTAGAATAACATCACCCGTAAGGTTTTGGTAGATGCATTGTGAACATAAGAGATCTCGCTACTTCTAACATATGCCTATTTTTTCTTTCAGCGACCCCATTTTGTGCACTAGTGTAAGGACACCTAATCTGATGGACTATCCCATTGGATTCCAAATAAGCACCAAATCTTTTATCCATGTATTCGCTGCCATTGTCAGTTCTCAAGATTTTTATTTTGGCATCAAACTTAGTACAAATCATCTTACGAAATGACTGAAAACAAGAGAAAACTTCACTTTTGGCTTATAACAAATATACCCAAGTCATCCTAGTGCAGCAATCAATGAAAGTAACAAATCATCGACTACCAGGCAAAGAAACAGCGTGGGTAGGACCCTATACATCAGAATGAATAGTCATAAACGGAGTTGTGCTTCTATTATCACTCACATGATAAGAGTTTTCCATACATCAGAATGAAAAGTCATAAACGGAGTTGTGATTCTATTATCACTCACATGATAAGAGTTTCTAGTATGCTTGGCATATTCACATGCATCACAGAACAAAGATTCAATCGAGTCCTGGAAAACAAATCGGGATATAACTTCTTCAAAACAAAGAATGATGGGTGTCCTAACCGTCTATGCCGTTGTATAATTTCTTGGTTGACATCCTTACTTTCCCCAAAAAAGTCTTGACCAGAATTTTGAATTCCATCTTATATATACAAGTCATCACGCAATCTACCACTGCAAGTCTTTTCCCTGTTTGAAGATCCTGAAAAATACAATGATCGGGAAAGAACTCGATTTTACAGTTTAGAGCTTTGTTGATGGCACTAACAGATAAAAGATCAGAATTTGTTCGAGAGATAGGTGTTAAAGAACCATTGGCTATTTTAACATTATCTCCTTTGGGACACGGAGAATAGTTTTGAATGCCTTTAGACTAGCCTGTCATGTGTCTATTTGCACCAGAATCAACAATCCAAGAATTAAGGTGAGCAGCAAAGGCAGTACATGATTGCATATGATTGGATGTGGCAACATTAACGGAGTCAAGTTTGGCTAGGAGGCGACGGAGAAGCTGAATTTCATCCGAAGACAAGATTTCTCCAGAAACCGTCTTCTTGAATGTCTCCATATTTCTGCCCAATCAGAAGAAAATCTGAAAAACATTACTCAAAAATAATCTGCCTCGCTGGAAACCAAATCCGTCTCGAGCGAACCTTAGCTCCGGTGAACAGAAAAAATTAAAATTGGTAGGGATAGGCTCGGAATGTTCCAGCGACCCTAATAGAAAAGAAAACTCCAAAAACAAAACTGACCAGAAGGAGTTTGTGTTGCGCACAGCCACCAAGAGAGAGAAAACTCGATTTCTTTGATAAAAACGGAACCCTAGTGCTGCGACGGAGATAACTCACCTCAAAAAGGCAGCAATGGCTCTGATACCATCTAGATTTTGAGAAGAAGAAAAGACTTCTTATATTTCAGTGTATTTTACATTCCATGAGCAAGGGAATTTATACAAAGCTCTTAATGCTAATAAAGGAAATAAAATAAATCTATACAATCAATCCAGCTATCAAATCAAATCAGATCAGATCTCCTAAATATAATCAAATCTTCTGAAATCATACAAATTAAGACTCGTAAATCAAATCTCCTTGAATCATGCTAATCAATACAAACTGAGCTTCAAAAACTAGAAGCCTATCAATTTATGTCTAATCATGGATATATGCAATTTAAACCTCCTTATATCACGAGAAAACAAAAGTCACTTTCTGTTTTTTCCTGGTACTTCACTGGTTATATAATGGAAAAGTTTGTGCTGACAAACTTAATTCAGTTAAAANAACTTAATTCAATGAAATTTTCAATTCAGATTGTCTCCTAGAGTCACCTTTATAAATCTCCTAATGTCATCACGATACTTCCCGTTCCACTCAGCCCACCTGCATACATGTTTATCAAGATAAGTATCATGCTATGAAACTTCGCCATAGAATGGAACATACATGTTTATCAAGATAAGTATCATGCTATGAAACTTCGCCATAGAATGGAACATACATGTTTATCAAAAACTAATTAAGCTGAAACCTCTGTTAGCTGCCAAGAATGGAAATTTGCAGGGCCAGAATGGCTATCAGAAAAGGAAAGGTAAAGGTACCAGATCCTACTGCAAATAATTGTGACAAGCCAGGCCATATTCGAGACACTTGTTGGAAACTACGGTCGACCACCATGCAAGAATAACAAATAACAACAATAATAACAACAACAACCATTATATGTTTCGTGTGACTGGTAGAGATACAAAGCACCAACAAACAGACTCTATTACTTTGACCAGAGCAGATTACAGTGATTACCTAGAGTATCAAGCTATAGCACAACAATCACTTTTATCCGGCACCTCACAACAATACAAATGAGCTAGGAACGACCCGATGACCTCTATTAGGGGATTCTTTTCTCCTGTTGTTAAAACATTTCACAATTGGGGCACCTTGCTGGCCCTATAAAAAGCTCATCTTAATAAAACAATCATAAAAGTGGTCAAAAGATAATAAAAAGAAGGCGGCATCCGATAAAAAATGGAGGGCTATTATTACAAGGTAACAGCCTCGTTTCATCATCTCAAAAGTAATAATGTTTCACTTACAAAGAATTTGGGATAGGATCAGTCAACTGTACGTAGGTCCAATGAATTGTGATATGACTTCATTTTAAAATTTCAACTGTTAGGAGGGGCATCATATTTACTTATTTATTTTACTCAATTCTTTTATTACTCCTTTTTTTTCTTTTTGCCAAGCACGTGAAAATCCTCACTGATAATAGGTGATGGTATGACGATCTAAAAACCTCTGCCTGCCCTCGCACCCTGTAGAATTGTATAACCACTTCAAGCTGTAAGTTGTCAGAGAGCCGACATATTTATTTATTTATTTATTTTAGGCCTTCCACACCCTCAATGACTAAATCCAACCACACTAACCTAGTTTTCACATTCACACAATCTGATGCAATAGATGATTTTTCTTCTTTCTCAACAATAGGATAAATCAATAATATAAAACAATGTTCTTGTAGATGTTACCGGTCCCAGTTTGGAAACTTTCCAACAAGATAAAGGCCTCCACAATCCCATGGCTCAGCAATAATTTTGCACCTCGACAGTACACTATCTTTGGCAATGGCCTGCAGCATTAAAGAAAATTATCTGGGAAGTACAAGAGGTGATGATTATTACTGCTCTACAATCAAGAAAGAGGAAATCAAAAACATCCTCCTCAAGCCAGAACCTATAAACGGGGAATAATATGGCTTTCAATCAACTTAGATCATTTTCGTATGGAGAGCTTTTTTCGTAAAAGTAGTACTGAGGTAAATTCCAAGTTACAAATGAAAATTATCTTTGCATCGCAATATTTTTTTTCTTGATAGTTGGCATTGCACTAAATTGTTTTATGAACTTTTAATCTTTGAACACCAATGTATACTTAAAACTATGGGCATCTAAGAAAAGATGACAGAATTACTGTTCAATGCTATTGTCGGTTCATTTATAGTTTAACTCTTCCTAGTCAAACATTTGTTGACAGAAAGTAGGGGTGGCAAACGGGGCGGGGCGGGTCGAATATGAGTGGGTCGAAAATAGATAATTTTAAATACGAATAAATTATCCGACCCGACCCGTATTTGAGACTGATAAAAAACGGGTTAACCGGTGGATAATATGGATATCCATATTATCCATGGCTTCTTGAATATGATCACTTTTGGGAGAATTCCCAGTCTCTCAAACTTGAAGAACCCCCAATTTGAGGCTTTACAAATGTAAAAGTTAAACACATTAGTTATCCATTGATTATCCATTTGGTTAACAATTTTCTAAGTAGATAATATGGTTTTTATCCATATTCGACCCGTTTTTAAAAAGTTCATTATCCAACCCATTTTTTAATGAATAATATAGGTGGATAACTGTCTTCTTTTACCCATTTTGCCACCTCTAACAGAAAGGATATTTATGAACCTTTAACTCTCATAGATTAACAGGAACACGGTGCCATTAACTTAACGTGCCTACACTTATGCTAAATCACCCATTAAAATTTGAGGTAAGAATGAGCATAATATCGTGAATGTAGCAAGAAATCATGCTCACTCAGGAAAAACTCAGTCCTGTAATGGCTTTTTAAACAGTTATTTTGGTGTGATTGATCTAACACTCATTTCAAGAATTTTAACTTCTTTATCTTAAAAAGGCCCACAAAATAAGTCTACGATCTCAGTATCAAATACTCCCTCCATTTCAATTTATGTGATACACTTTTCTTATTAGTCTAATTCAACAAAATAGAATTTAACTTTGAATTATTTTACCCTTAATGAGAAGATTTTATAGTCACACAAATGTTATGACCCCGCAAAGTTTTTACCCTTTAAGCTTTTAAGACCAAAAGTACCAAAACTCCTTTTTTTTTTCTTAAACTTCGTGCCGAGTCAAACTACATCACATAAATGAAGCAGAGGGAGTAAAAAAGATTCATTATTTCAAGAACAAATATCTGCCTGCATTAACGTATTATTATTAATATTGCATCACTTCATTCAAGTATGTAGCATCTTGTTCATTCACAAGCAAGAATGCACCATATCATCATATTTCAGCCTTCTCTGCATTTTCTCTGCATTTATCAGTCATCCTTTTTTAAACACATGAAAAGTTGGAGCTGAGTGTGTTAAAGATGAAATTCTAAGTCAAATGGAAAATCAAAGAGACAAGAAAGAAGATAAAACAAGAAGGAAAACAATCCTAGGTGATGATAGAGAAGGGTTGAGGTGAACATGAAAATTGTGAATGGCAGTGGAATATTAGTCACTTCACTATCAACTTATTATGTTGCTTTCCATCGCACAGAATTCCTTTTTGATGCACCATTATGAAAAAGGTATATAAATGCTTCACCTTCACAAGGGGGGGAGCATTAATGGGAGTACCATCTGTCCCTCGGCAAAGAACACTAGCAAGATCAAAGCGAAATCCATCGACATGATACTCGGCGACCCTTTAGTTGCTCCAGCACAAGGTAGAAGAGAATATCAAATGGGAAAATGGTTAGTTAATTTAATTGAGAATCCAACCAATTCATCCTGGGTAAAATGCAAAAAATGTTCATTCTGTCTGTAATAACTTCAATTAGGTATTCCAAAAAATGTTCATTCTATATGCAGATATGAACAAGCATATGGAGAGACCGTTGAAAACAGAGGAGGAAAAGAGAAGGATAAGCCTGGACAAAGTATTCCATTCAACAAATCAAATCCAATAGGAGCCAACATAATGAATTTCGTGAACATATCAGCATTCCAAGAAACTTCTACGCATTCAAGAAAGCATATATTTCAACCATGTCAACTGACCAACCTGCAAAACTGCTTACACCATTGTGTGTACATAACCAAGTAAAGAGTCGGTTAAGTGTTCAAGGCTATGTCATAACAGATCCAGAAACTTGCCCCATATCGACTTCCAGATCATAGATTCTCTAGTAAATAACTGAAGAAAAAGATATATGGGATAGAAGAAAAACAAACCAACCATTGAAATATGTCTCTATCTGACTATCTCTAAGATTCACTAATTATTCGACTGCTAGTGGGTCTCTTTGTATGTGTCATCTGGAAAGAGGTTCCACTGGTTATTATTTTCATCAAAAGAAAAATAAAGAAAAAAAAGAGGACTCAATGAATATAGTTTGCTAGACACTAAGTATTTCAAATGGGGAAGTACAATTCTTGTGGAACCCATCACAAAAACCCTTGGGAATACGGCAAAGCAGACGGTAGAGATGTCGGTGACACACTTTATGCACATTGAACAAGTACATAGAATTTTGACATTGCAAGTACCTTTCATGTGTTGGGCAAAAAACTGAAGACAAAAATCGCATACCTTCGGGAAAAGCTTAGTTTAGTTGTGACTAAAATAATGATATATTGATACCAATTAGTGAGTAATTAACTGTAAAAATACAGCTAACTCCAAAGCAGACAACCAGAAAGTGAAAGGAAATGAATGTACCAGTGTCTTAAGCTTTCAAGTATAAGTTCCATGACTACAGGGTGGTTGCAGTTAAAAGTATTTCCTGGAAAGACCAAAGTATTGCATCTCAGTGCTCTTATGAAGGCAAAAGAAAGATATGCATCAGAACATCAATCACTCTTATAAATCTAGGAATCTCAGACTAGCAACAGATGAGCATGAAGTAAAATGAACATTAGTAGTTAGACCTTTACATCTTTTTCCTTCCTAGGTTCAACTCTATAACTATCCCTTTTGAAAAGGGAAGAACAATGTGAAATCTTAAGAAGAGCTCAACAATGAGAAAACTAAGTTTTTTGGTGGGTGGAATGGGAACAAAACACCACTGTAGCTTAACCCGAAATGCAATTGTCTAAAGGTAGTTTGTACTATAATCTAAGAAGTCTTCATCAGGAGAAAAGCCTTCTTAAGTTTAGAGGACTTTCGAGTAAATTATTTAGGAGAAATATTTACAATGTTTTTTATGCAGTAAAGTACAACAACAACAAACCCAGTATAATGCCACAAGTAGGGTTTGGGGAGGGTAGATAGTACGCAGACCTTACCCACTGTAGGGAGGCTGTTTCTAGTAGACTCTCGGCACGAGGGAAAATGAGAAAAGAGCAGTAACAACAAGAAATAACGAGAACAAAATAAAAGAAAATAAGGCGAAAAAAACAACATGAAAATCGAAATCTACAATATTAAAATACAAGACTGCTACTAATAACACTGGAAATGTCTGGAAACCCGCACCACTACCTATTAACCTACAACCTTAATCTTCGACCTCCACACCTTCCTATTAAGGGCCATGTCCTCGGTCAGCTGAAGCAAAGCCATATCTTGCCTAATCACCTCTCCCCAATACTTTTTTGGCATAGCTCTACCTCTTCTAAGACCCCCTACTGACAACCTCTCATACCTCCTTACCGGGGCATCTTCGCTTCTCCTCTTCACATGCCCAAACCATCTAAGTCTCGCTTACCGCATTTTGTCCTCCATGGGGGCCACTCCTACCTTGGCCCGAATATCCTCAGTATTAATCTTATCAATCCTGGTATGCCCGCACATCCATCTCAACATTCTCATTTCTGCTAATTTCATTTTCTGGACACGAGAATTCTTGACTGGCCAACACTCTGCCCCATACAATATAGTCGGTCTCACTACTACTCTGTAGAACTTACCTTTAAGTTTAGGAGGCACATTCTTATCGCATAAGAGACCGGATGAGAGCCTCCATTTCACCCACCCCGCACCAATACGATGCGTAACATCCTCATCAATCTCTCCATTACCTTGGATTATAGACCCCAGGTACTTGAAACTATCTTTCTTGGGGATGATTTGGATTACATGGCACTCGATAGGAAGCTGTGGAGGTCGAGCATTAAGGTTGTAGGTTAGGAGGTAGTTGAGTTCATTTAGTCTACCAGTGTGAGGCTAGGCTGATAGGATTTAGTCTTAGACTGCTAGTGGTCAGTGTTGTGTTTTCACTACTCTTCCGTTATTTACTGGTTATTATTTCTGCTTTCCATTTATTCACTGGTTCTTGTGATGTCGTAATTATTTACATGGTTTTTATTGATGGTACTGATATATTGTCTCTTTTCGTCTTTTCGTCTTTTCGTCTTCTTGAGCCGAGGGTGTTTCGGAAACAGCCTCTCTACCCCCATCAGGGTAGAGGTAAGGTCTACGTAGAGCGTACACACTACCCTCCCCAGACCCCACTTGTGGGACTATACTGGGTCGTCGTTGTTGTTGTTGATTTGTGTATCAAGCCTCACGTCGGTTAATTCTTCACTGGTCCCATCACTGAACTTTTTATGCAGTAAAGTAAGAGTACTAATAGAATTTCTGAAATACATTTCTTTTTTGTTGACTGACATTTGTCTACATCTAGTTGAGTAAATCAAAAACCACAAAGGGTAATAATCTTGACTACTTTTACTTATCAAATAAATAGCTTAGACTACGTTTGTATCATGTTCCATTATGACATTCCCAAAATTGATACCTAGGAAACTATGCTTCATGTTAAATTGTTAACAATCTTAGATGACCAACGAAAATCCTGAAGACAGGATTATAGAGATATGCTCAAAACAGCCCTGCAAACTTTCCTTCTATTTAAGTCGTAAAGTGTATGGTGGTCGAATTACCACATCCAGAAAAGTTCAGCAGCTGACCATTATTGTTCAAATCCACCATGTAATAAACCTGCAAATTGTCAGGGCAAGGAATAACGTTTAAGAGAGGGTGGGGAGAAAGAAGAAGTTTTTGTAAAAAAGGAAAAAAAGAAACTGATATTCAGGCCATCCAATATAAATAGTTTAATTTAGAACTTAATAAAGTAAACCTGGTCTCATCTGGTTTTGCAGGAGACAATGCATTATAGAGAAAAACACAATAAGTTAAATCCATCTACAATGGGTTTGATGCAGCTCTTACTGAGAAGGTTTATAGGAGAAGAAGGGGGAAAAACAGCAAGTTCTAGCATTATAACTATATATGATGGTAGATCTTTCACTCCGTATTAAGCTGCAGAACAGAGAGTATAAACAATTGTCAAATAGTTGATTGCCTTAATTATTAGGAAAGATTTGATTCTGTTGATTAGCTTTATTAGGAAAGATTTGATTCTGATTGAGATTTGATTTTATTCGGATTGATTGTAATTTATTCCCTTCCTAAAATAGTCATAGGACCTAGTGTACAAATACCTTTGCTTAGGGATCTAAGAAATACACAGAAATACAAGAAGCATTTTCTTCTTAAAAATTACATGGTATTAGAGCCATTGTTGCTTTTTTGAGGTGAGTTATCTCCCTCGCAGCACTAGGGTTTCGTTTTTATGAAAGAGGTCGAGTCTTCTTCTCTTGGTGGCTATCCGCAACACAAATTCCTTCTGGTCAGTTTTCTGTTGGAATTTTCTATTCTGTTGGGGGTCGCTAGAACATTCCGAGCCTATTCTTGCCAGTTTTGATTTTTTCGTTCACCGGAGTTAAGGTTCCGTCGAGACAGATTTGGTTTCTTGCGAGGCAGATTATTTTTGAGCAATTTTATTCAAATTTCTCTCTGAATGGGCAGAAAATATGTAGACATTCATGGAAACGATTTCTAGAAAAATCTTGTCTTCTAATGAAATTCAGCTTCTCCACCTCCTAGCCAAACCTGACTCTGCTAATGTTGCCACATCCAACTATGTGCAATCAGTTACTGCCTTTGTTGCTCACCTTAATTCTTGGATTGTTAATTCTTATGCAAATAGACATATGACAGGCTCTTCTAAAGGCATTCAAAACTATTCTCCGTGTCCCAAAGGAGATAATGTTAAAATAGCCAATAGTTCTTAAACACATATCTCTGGAACAGGTTCTGTCGTTTGTACTCCTAATATTAAACTATCATCCGTGCTCCAACTCCCTGAGTTCCTTGTCAATCTTTTATCTGTTAGTGCTATCACCAAAGCTCTAAACTGTAAAATCGAGTTCTTTTCCGATCATTGTATTTTCCAGGATCTTCAAACAGAGAAAAAGACTGGCAGTGGTAGATTGCATGATGACTTGTATATATTAGATGGAATTCAAAACTCTTGTCAAGCCTTTTTTGGGGAAAGTAAGGATGTCAACCAAGAAATAATACAACGGAGCAGACGGTTAGGACACCCATCATTCTTTGTTTTGAAGAAGTTATATCTCGATTTGTTTTCAAGGACTCAATTTGAATCTTTGTTCTGTGATGTGTGTGAATATGCCAAGCATACTAGAAACTGTTATCCTGGGAGTGATAATAGAAGCACAACTACTTTTATGACTATTCATTCTGATGTATGGGATCCTACCCAAACTGTTTCTTTGTCTGGTAGTCGATTTGTTACTTTCATTGATTGCTACACTAGGATGACTTGGGTATATTTGTTAAAAGCCAAAAGTAACGTTTTCTCTTGTTTTCAATCATTTCATAAGATGATTGGTACTTAGTTTGATGCCAAAATAAAAATCTTGAGAACTAACAATGGCAGCGAATACATGGATAAAAGATTTGGTGCTTATTTAGAGTCCAATGCGATAGTCCATCAGAGTAGTTGTCCTACCACTGGTGCACAAAACGGGGTTGCTGAAAGAAAAAATAGGCATTTTTAGAAGTAGCAAAATCTCTTATATTCAATTCACCATGCATCTACCAAAACCTTACATGGGGATGCAATTCTAGTGGTTGTCTAACTTATCAACAGAATGCCACTTAAAACCCTCTATTTTCAAAGTCATTGTAAGGTCCCGTAAAATTTCACCTAGAACCCGGGGTTTCGTGATGCCAAGGTGGACTTATGTGTCGATGATTGTAGAGACACATAAGTTGAAGAGACCCGGGGTACAGATTTTTTGGGTTGAACAGTGCGTTAGGGAGATGAAGAAAATTTTTGGCATAGTAGGACATTTCTGCGGTCCACTATGCGACCGCAGAATCACTCTGCGGGCCGCAGAGTGCAACAAAAAAATGGCCAATTTTGGATGATCGTTTTGCGGTCCAATATGCGACCACATAATGCTTTCGCGGGCCGCACAATCCATCGCAGATTCAGCATGAAGATTTCCGGAGAGGATATGCAACCGCAGAACTGGTCTGCGGACCGCAGACCTACCGCAGACCTGACCCGAACAGCCCAGTTCTTGACATCACTTCTGCGGCCCATTTTGTGAACCGCATATCCATTCTGCGGTCCACTAAGCGACCGCAGAGCTGTGTTCGGAGGGTCCATTTTCTGATTTTTATAACCCGACTCTATTTCAATATATAGACGTTAAGGGCCATTTGTAAAGTAAAAATCTGATATTTTGAGAGTGAGGAAGTGCTCTAGAGTGAGGGGGTTCCTAAACTAATTGTTCATCAATTCTTGCTCAAGGCTTGGAGAATTAACAAGGAAGACTCACTAGGTCTTCCTCCTAGAGGTAAGATTCTACTCCCTAGTCCTCAATTTCGGGATTTAACTGGAAATAGGTAATGAGAAAAGCAATTCTTGGGTGTGGGAGTTGTTCATTATGCATGCATGTACTATCAAGGTTTGTGGGAAGATTGTTGAGCTCAATTGGGTAGACTTTGGGTAGTGGGATGAAGGAATCCACCCTAGGAGGACTTTGAAATCATAATGCCCACCTAGTGTTTGATAAAATGCTCAAATGAGCTGGAACCATGAACTCATTCCTAATTTGTGTTCAATTTTGTTATATTTCCAAATAGATCGAAGTGGCTAAGATTTCCGAACCATTGTAGTAATTTAAGGAAGCTCAAGGCGAGGTATGTTGGCTAAATTTCTCTCTTAGAATTGAATCCCACGATGTTCTTGTAAGCCCCGAGTTGATCATTATAAATTTGACTATTCCGAATGCTTTTATCTTATTGTGTTATCCTTCGGGAATGTGATCTAAGTATGGGTTGTGTGTTAACATGCTATGACTTCAAGACGTGATTCTAATGAAAGCTATCATGTCGAATTGTGTAAGAAATCTCATTGTGCCTAAGACCCTTATTTGCTCACATTTGTACTTAAAGTCTTGAATAGAAATGCCTTGTTGTTGATAATCTAGAGAAGTGTAAAAGACATTGAAATGAGCTGTAAATTCTTTAAATAATAAATGCCTTGGGAGTATCGTTTAGTCACCCACGAAAGGTAGGTTGAAATGACTTAACCCCGAAACTACACGTGCCGGTGTAGGAGTGAATGAGGAAATCCCCGTGTGAGGTGATGAGAATTCTCCCCGAATATGGGATGGGATTGATGTGTTGAGATATTTCCCCTTAAATGGGATGAGATGATTGCTAGCGGAATGTGAGGTGACGTCGACCCATACAACATTGTGGTGAGACGGCTTAGCCGATCGGGCCAAGATCGGACGTCATGCCACGCACATGGTGGTATTGTGAGTGGACGTCTCGGGGTAAGACGGCTTAGCCGATCGAGCTGAGATCGGACTCCGTGCTAAAAACACGGCGGCGTATCGGTACTAAAGATCTCCCAACTTAAAATATTGAAACTTGCTTGAAATTTATTCCTTCTCCTAACTTGGTACTTTAATATTGATGAGGCCCTCATTGATTTCATGTTTCTTTATCATTGTACTGTTACTCGTTCTATTGAGGGGTGTTTAGTTTTCATACTAGTATNGGACGCCACGGGGCGCGTCCAAGGGATCATGGGGCATGGCTGGAAAGCCGCCCATGACAGTACTAACATCCTTTTTGCTGGGGCACTACATCTTTAATGGATGCAAGTGGTTCCACAGCGGGCGGCATTGAGTAGTGATAGCAGTACATCCTCTCCTCAGCTGACTTGGTGAGCCCCACTTCAATTCGGGGTCCTGTATCTTTTGTCCTTGTACATAGCATTTCGAGGATAGCCGGAGCCTTGTTGCCGGCACTGTCATAACACTCTTTGGTTTCTGTTAGAGACTCCGTAGACATGGTATGGGTTGTATATTGGTGTTGGGAAAGTCAAACTAAAAATGTTGTATTTGTATCACATGTTCCAATTCAAACTATGAATGTGTAATGTATTTTGAGACTTATAAATGGAGTAACCAATGGTAATGAAATGGTGTTGTTCACGTGACCTTCTTATTGTCTAATTAATGAAATGTATCTTCTCTTTATTCTTGGGTGAGTCGGGTAGACGGCATTGTGCATGCTTGCTCAACCGGGGTATCTCGGTTGAGCGTCGGTCGCGCTCCCCGGGGTCGGGGCGTGACAGTCATCTGGAAGCTTTAAAGGGTAAGAATGAATATGTTGTTCCTCCAAAGGTGTTCGGGTGTGTTTGCTTTGTCCACACTAGGAATTTTGGGATACTAGATCCTAGAGCTATAAAGTGTGTTTTATCGGGTATTCTCAAACACAGAAAAGTTACAAACGTTATCATCCTCCCTAAAGGAGATCTTTTGTTAACATGGATGTTACCTTTCAAGAATTTGAGTCCTCAGTATCACTCATCACCTCTTCGGGGGGAGAGCAGTAAGGAGGAAGAGGTGATTCTACCGAGTTCCATTATTGGACCTCCTGATGATATCGTCACAAGGGAAAGTGAAATTGGAGAAAGAATTCAGAGGGAGACAATTGGGCGTCTGGATAGGCCTGATTTGAAAACTTACTCAAGGAGAAATAGAGCAAAAGAAGCTATAACGCAATCTACCGAAGCTGAACCTTCTTCTACTTGTGAGTTATCTATATTTCCTAATGAGTTAGATGTGCCTATTACTCACAGAGAAGGAGTCGGATCTTGCACCACCAAACACCCTTTATCTAATTTTGTCTACTATTATTCTTCGTATCCCTCCTATAGAGCCTTTGCCTTGTCTATTTCTTCTGTGCCTATTCCCCAGAATTGGAGGAAAACTTTTGCAGATCCTAAATGGAAGCAAGTTATGATTAAAGAAATGAATGCCTTGTAAAAAAATGAGACTTGAGAATTTGTCACTTCACCACCAGACAAGAAGTTGGTTGGCTGCAAATGGGTCTTCACTGTGAAGCACAAAGCTGATGATTCGATTGAAAGATTCAAAGCATGATTGGTGGCTAAGGGATTCACTCAAACTTATGGAGTGGATTATCAAGAGACATTTACCCATGTTGCAAAAATGAACAATATCAGGATTCTTTTATCTTGTACAGCTAATCTTGATTGGGACTTACAACAGTTTGATGTGAAGAATGCATTTATTCACAGAGACTTAGAAGAGGAGGTATACATAGAGATTTCTCTTGGATTTGATACTAAACAAAGTCAAGGAAAGGTGTGCAGACCGAAGAAAGCCCTGTACGGACTGAAGCAATCCCCTTGAGCTTGGTTGACAGATTCTGCAAAGTAATGATCTCCTTCGGCTACCAACAAAGGAATGTTGATCATACTCTCTTTATAAGACATCAAAGGGGTAAACTCATTTTTCTCATAGTTTATGTTGATGACATAGTAATAACAAAAGATGACAAAGACAGATGACCTGATTGAAGAAGCTATTGGCACAAGAATTTGAGATCAAAGATCTAGGAAAATTGCAGTACTTCCTGGGAATTTAGGTTGCTAGATCAAAAAGAGGAATCATAATTTCTCAAAGTAAAGTATATTTTGGATCTCTTGAAAGAAACTGGTATGACTCGTTGCAAACCAGCAAAATCGCCCATTGAAAGTAATCACAAGCTACAAACAGGAGTTGGAGAGCCAGTTGATTAGGAGAGGTATCAGAGGTTGGTTGGTAGACTCATTTATCTCTCTCATACTAGATTTGACATAGCCTATTCAGTCAGCTTGGTGAGTCAGTTCATACATGATCCCGAGATCCTCATATGCAAGTTGTCTTTCACATTTTGCGGTATCTTAAGTCTGCTCAATGCAAAGGTCTGATTTTCTCCAAACATGATCACCTTCAGGTAAAAACCTATACTGATGTGGATGGGCTGGATCTTTAGATGATAGAAGATCTACATCCGGTTATCGTACACTCGTAGGAGGGAATTTGGTTACTTGGAGAAGCAAGAAGCAAAGTGTAGTTGCTAGATCAAGTGCAGAAGCAGAATATAGAGCTATGGCCCAGGGTGTCTGTGAACAACTTTGGTTACTAAAGTTACTAGAGGAATTAAAAGTGGAAACTTTCCTTACATTGTGAGAACAAGGCTGCCATCAGCATAGCTCATAACCCAGTCCAGCATGATTGAACAAAGCATGTTGAAATTGATCGACACTTCGTCAAAGAAAAAGTTATGAGTGGTGTCTTGAACTTGTTTCATGTGTCATCAGAAAAGCAGCTAGCTGGTGTGTTTACCAAGGGTCTCAACAAACAAACTTTTCATACACTAGTTTGCAAGTTGGGCATGTGCGACATCTTTACACCAACTTGAGGGAGAGTGTTGATTGCCTTAATTATTAGGAAAGATTTGATTCTGATTGAGATTTGATTTTATTCTGATTGATTGTAAATTGATTGTAATTTATTTCCCTTCCTAAGATAGTCATAGGACCTAGCGTATAAATACATTTGCTTAGGGAGGTAAGAAACACACAAAAATACAAGAAGCCTTTTCTTATTCTTAAAATCTACACAAATTCCATAATCGAAGACTACTCGAGTTGAACAGTTCTGTAAAGTTACAAAAATAACTATTCTTGCAAAACAGTTAATGCAGATCAAGACACATCTCAAACATGATGATGATGATTACTGAAACCGTTATCTATTAACAGACACAATAACCCCATGAACCTACTATCAAAACAAATGTAGATGTTGCCCTAAGCATAGTAAATTGCTGAGGTACATTACATGCAATGAAAATTTAATTCATAACTTTATTGACCAAGACCTATTACATTGGATAGTTCCTTTACCTTGTTGTCTATTCCTCGGAATGAGGTGGTATACGGGTTTTTGTCATCAGCTTCATTAGTGTGATTATAAACAACATCTAAAATGACCTGTAGAATGAAAAGCCGTGAGAAAGAGAAACCAATATCTTTAAATAGACAGTTGAAAAGGTAGAGGAGACATTATGGGTATGTGTAGCAAGCTCTTTAAAGACCAAGCTGATACAAGGCGAACCTCAATTCCAGCATCATGCAAGGCCTTGACCATTTGTTTGAACTCCCGAGAAGCACTGACGGGTCCCCCAGCACAACTTGCATATCGACTCATTGGAGCAAAAAAGTTTATTGTTGAGTAACCCCACGTATTGATCTAAAGTTAACATGAGTTCAAAAGTATTCAGACAAACCAAGAGCATTCTGCCCCTTTAATTAGCCATAGTAGTCAATGAAGAATTTGAATACATGCACATCAAATAGATACTCACAGCATCTTTTCATCAAGTTTCCAGCAATGAAGGTAGCATACAAACAACAAAGTAGATGGGAAGAAGAAAAAGGATTATCGAAATAAAGTATTCTTAAGTCAACAAAGTATTCTTAAGTCAACAATTGAACTTTGCACTTTGACTGGGCACAGTTATTATGGTCTAATCTTGGGCATTATGAGTTTGATGGGGACAGAAAGGGTAAACGGTTGCTCACTTGCTGTTAATACCTCAAATAAATGATAAAATTGATGCAGTTATTTCTAATATATATAGTAAAAGTTGATGAGCTTATTTCAATCAGCCACTTTAAGAGTCTCTTGATCACATTTGAAAGAATCTGCATTCTAGTGAATCATTACTCAATAAAAGTGGAACACTAATTCTCCTTTACCATTCAAAGCATTGGTATTTTACTGATGCGCTATGCCATAACAATGACAGAGTTGTGAACATCAGAGGAAGCACAACGTGCGTGCTCACATACAAAAACAATTAACAGGTTTTATGAGGATTTATCCTGAATTGGCAAATTTTATACTGGCTGCCAAGCTACCTCAATCCTCCTCCTTTATCCGGGCTTGGGACCGGCAATGTGAGCAAGCTCACACAGGCAACAGGCATGAAAGAATAATCATCATAACTAGCTTCAGAATAGAGAAATCACTAGAAAAGAATAAGTCATAGACAGTTATAAAGCATAAAGAAAATGTAAGTTTACCATGTGATCTCTCGGATTAGGTCGCCTTTGAAACTCCAGTTCATCAAACTCAAAGACAGGCATTAATTCTACTGCATTAACACCAAGCTCCAGAAGATGTGGTATCTACACTTACAGATGAATGAATGTCAGATACCTAAAGGAATAAAATAAGTTTAAAATTTCTGTAAGTGACTAATAGCCTGTTTGGCCAAGCTTCTCAAAATCCAAAAGCACTTTTTTTTTCAAAACAAATACTTTTTTCAAAGTTAAGTGTTTGGCCAAGCTTTTAGAAGAAAAAAAAGTGCTTTTGAGGAGAAGCAGAAGCAGTTTTGGAGGATCAGAAAAAAGTAGCTTCTCCCCAAAAGCGCTTTTTTGAAAAACACTTTTGAGAAAAATACACTTAGAAGTACTTTTTAAAAGCTTGGCCAAACACTTAACTTTGAAAAAAGTATTTGTTTTGAAAAAAAAAGTGCTTTTGAGGAGAAGCAGAAGCAGTTTTGGAGAAGCAGAAAAAAGTAGCTTCTCCCCAAAAGCGCTTTTTTGAAAAACACTTTTGAGAAAAATACACTTAGAAGTACTTTTTAAAAGCTTGGCCAAACACTAATTGCTGCTCAGAAGTGCTTTTCAAATTAATTAGTCAAACATAAACTGCTTCTCATCAAAAGTACTTCTGAGAAAAGCACTTTTGAAAAAAAAAAACACTTCTCAAATAAGCTGATTTTTGAAGCTTCGCCAACAGGCTATAATACATGATGAAAGAACCAAAGACATCCAACATAAGAAAAAGGNTGAAAGAATCAAAGACATCCAACATAAGAAAAAGGACCAAAGAACATAACAACAATTTTAACATTGAAACTTTAACTCGTAGTATAACTTGTGGTACTGCTATTAAGGCAGATAAACCAAACTTTAACAACCAATCAAATGTTTGGTAAAAGTAAACAAACTCGTAGAAATTGAAAGTACCTTTTCAATCACACCAAGGTAGCTTCCCCGTTGATCTGGATCCAAACCACTTGATTCATCAGCAGTAAAAGCACGGACATTCATCTCATATATAACAAGATCTTTCTGCCAAAAGAAAAAGGATATGCATTAAGAGTAAATGTATAGCAGATTCAAAGCATACAGCTCAATCTACCAAAGAAGCAACAACATTACTAAAGGAGAATAAGCTGAAACTCCTCTTACTTGAAATAACAAGAACAAGTGACAGAAAATCTGAGCACTTAATAATGACAGTTCTGTCATCTTAGTCATAGCTCATAAGTGAATTAGCTGAAGATACAAGTAAATTATCTTTTGATTTGCACAAGTCAAGAAAGTCATTCAAGTAATTCTTCTCAACCTACCTCGGGTATATTTGGAAGCTTGTAACTTTCTCCCCAGTCAAAAGGCAAGGTATTGAAATCGTAAGTTCCAAAAAATCTACATATTTTGTTGCTAACATCTCCAAAAGCTCGCCGACCTTCAATTAGTTTCGCGTAAGGATCAATCAAAACAATGCTATTGTCAAATCGATGCCCTTCATGCCAACTTTGAGGACCATCAATGCGATAACCATAGAGGACGTCGCCACGAGGCAACTCCTGCAGATAATGGAGAAAAGAAGATACAATGAGAAAAGGTAACAGAAAGGACAATAATAGCATAAGTCAATACTAACGATTAAAAACATAGCAGCATAAACTGTGACTAAAATAGAAACCGCGGAAAGGCCGGCTGATATATCCCCTCAGTACAAGGTTCCTATAGTACAAAAACCTGTGAGACTATTGATTCATTCAAGGTCATTGAGAATATGAAATTGATAGGAAAACATTTGAGAACACGAAATTGATAGAAACTGGTGAATGTTAAACTTAAAGATACTTAAGGATTTGAACGAGTTCGAAGTCCAATATGAGCAAAAATACTAGTGAAGTAATCATGCAAAGTTAGATTACCGAAATGCCCAGCAATAATGGAATGTCCGTTTTCTCCTTTACTTAAACACCAATTCTTTAATGTATTTGTACCAAAAAGTAAAATTACCTTCTAATAAATTATAAGGTTGTACTACAATGAATCAGGTGAATGAGAAGAGACTGGCCTAGAGTTCCGTGCATCAGCCAAGCACTTAATGCAGTATATTCAATGTCTTGGAAGTACTTTCATCTTCCAAACACTTATTGCAAACAACGGTTCAGATTCTTCAGAATGTTACTCTATTCCACCATTTTCAGCTTTCTCTCTTTTGTGGTCCGGTGATGCTTCCCGTTGTTTATCCAACATGCTTTAGGTACTTTTTGCTCTTCCTCTATAGCTCTTTACATTTTAGTGTCTTTATCTGCATAAGTGTGTGTGTGCTTGTGGTGAATTTTGAATGGGCTTTTTTGGGTTAGGTAAGAATAAAATTTTACAAACTGGGGGTTGACATGGTTTATGTGAATTAAGTATTTTGAGAATTGGTTTATGGAGTTAATTTTATTTTGCTACTTAGGATTCTGACGATTTCTTGAATTCTTGAAAGTTTTTGCTTCTTACCTCAAAATAGCTGCATTAACATATATTTACACTTGGCTCGGTAAACTGTGTTCATCCTTGTATGAAGACAAATTCATTCAAATTTTAATATAAAAAGGCCAATATTACCACATTCACACTTGTAATTTTTCTTTTCAGCGAGTTGGAAACTCATTTCATTAACTATTGTGTTGTTGCTAATTTATCAATAATATCATTCATTTAGTGATTTTCATGACCATATGTAATTGTTTCTTGGTAAATTGTACTAGCCTTCACTCTTTGCTACCTTAGATGATGATTTTAAAGATATGAAAGCAAAGCTGGAATTCTGAGCTGAAGCTGTGACCTTTATTGTTAAGCTGTGCAGTTAGAAGAGAAAGGAAGACAAGAAGAAATGCAGAAAGGAAAGAAATCAGAGAGAGATGAGAGATCCTTTTCCTTATGTTGTGCTATGGAGCCTATGCTAGCGTACTTGTGGTTTGGCTTACAATGAAAGAGGGGAGTAATGGTCTAATTAAGGGCCATCATGTCCCTCAATTTTTTGCCTAGAAATAGAATCAGAACAAGTTTGTTTCTGCATATTATGTACTCATATTCATACATGAAAAGAAAGGTGATTTTTTAATTAACACGTCAAAATAAATAGTATGATTTTTGTAACCTTTAGGCTTAGCATATGATATGCGTGTGCTATTTTGTACTGTTAAATTAAAGTATGTCCCGTTAAAAACACAACTACTGCTTCACCTAAAATTACTATTAAAAACTAAGTCACTATTTTGCGCTTCACTTAAGCACAATTACTCCTATAACTTTTTAACCAAATAGTAGTAGAATAACCTCTCAAATTACTGCTTCACCATTAATGTGTGAAGCCATAAATTACCTAAATTTATCTTGAAACATGTACTCCCTCCGTTCATTTTTGCTTGTCCATTATACTAAAAATACATTTTCGCTTTTACTTGTCAATTTTAACAAATCAAGAGAAAAATATTTTTTTCTTTCTTGTTTTACCCTTATCATTAACTATTCATTACTCAAATCATTTCCCAATACCTTTTAAAATGCTATCATTATTATGGGTAAAACTGTAAAATACATACTTTATTTTTCCTTAAAGAGAGTTCAAAGTCAAAAGTGGACAACTAAAAATTAACGGAGGGAGTACCATTTTTATCACTCATTTAATTTCAACAAATGGTTTCAAAAGAAACGGATGGAATTAGTGAAATATTGTGGTGGATAAGTGTAACGAAGGGTTGCAGTAAATGTGGGTAACAAAGAGTCATACTGAAGACGTTCCCCTTCATTTCTATATATTGTATCTCTTTCTATACAGTAGAGAAATTTTAATTTATCTTTTTTTCTCCTTTTGATTTACTCTTATTTTCGGGAGGGAGGGGATACGAATGGAAAGTTCAAGATGAGTTGCTTTTTTATATATGTTGTCCAAATCTTAAACTAAATATTGATTCTTTTGCGTTATAAAATAAACATCTTGAAACAAATCAATAGCTAGCATCTTTTGCACTATAAAATAAACATCTTGAAATAAATCAATAGCTAGCATAGCCGGTTTTATTTACTCAATAATAGCAATATATTTACACAAATAAGAATTTTTACTTCAAATTACTTCTTATGATTCTTGAAACTTTGAGGACGTGGTGGATTCTCTTAGCTTTTCAAAGTATCTAATATTTCTTCTTTTAAAGATTTAAAACTTGTCATTTTTTAATCTGAATGATAGTTGATCTATGAATTATGTTATATCTATGCAGTCATATGTTTGGTCCTTTTAGATTATAGAGTTGTGACGAAAAAGTAATACAGAGTCCAAATAAACTGCTTTGTTTATTGTCTAATGCTAAGATCTACTTCTTAATTTCTTATCCAACTCATTTGTATCATTTTGTTAACGTCACTTAAAATAAGTGCATAATCGTCTTTTGTGTCAAATGATTTATTTTCTAAACGATAAGTTACGGAAGCTTACATCATCTTTGTGAATTAATTCATCTTCTAAAAGAGAATTTTTTAACATTACTTTGCTAATGATCAAAGCAAAATATTGATAGACGAGATAATTGATCGATTCCTGTACCGTTTGAAAATGCATTATTATTTCAAATTTAATGTATAAAAATGTAAGAGATACAACTATAATTTGTGCTACTTATTATATTTCTTACTAAATGATCATGGAAAAATTTAAGTTAAGAATATTTTAAATGGTACACGCGCAACGCGCGTGTCCAAGAACTAGTTGGAAAAAAAAAATAGAAAGATCATAACGGAGGAGATTTATGTGGTAAGGAGCAAAGTTGTGTACAAAAAAGGCGCAAGAGAAATGGATGAGATGGTGACACGAGTAGATAACTTTGCAGTTATCCTGATAGTTTACATTACTTCTCTTTCACCTTAACTTGTTCCCTTCTAATTAATCTTTTCATATTAGCAAGATCTGCAACTCCTTTTCATCTATCTGAAGTGAACTTTCCTCCAGCATGGAAAGAAAGTTTGAGTAGTGTGTCACGTCCTTAGTTTTCAACTAAGCGCACGTGCGACACTTGACAACTTGCTCACGATTTTGCACAACTTGCTCATGTTCTTGCTATGCCAAGTCATCCTTACTACACTAAAGATCGCTACGGGAATGTTAGAACACAGAAAAATTGCCAAAGAAAGCTTTTGTATCGGAGAGAACTTGATTGTTTTGCTTGGTGAATTACAAATGAATGGCCCCTTTATATACTAGTCTCCAAGGGGCTAGTGATTAAATAATAATTATTACAGAAGTCCCTTATTATTTACAAGTAAGACCCCTCTCTAGAATTCTCTACATAGCTAGAATCTTCAAAGGACTTTCCTAGCAAATCCATAGTGTTCTAGGGTCTTCCTAGGGAAACCTCTATATTTCTCTAGAACTTTCCTACAAGTTCTATCCTCTTGCCTATGTAAGCTTTCCATATGGAAAACATATACGCCAAGTGGCACCTACGTGGCATGATGATGTGGCGGGTCATGACACTCTCCCCCACCCAATTTTGTGCCGCCCTCGACACAAAGTATCGACACGTACGTGCGCACCTCGCCTTGGCGTCACCAGAGATTTTTGTCCTTTAGCCATGATGCCCTATGGAGCGGTTCGCCTTCCCATGTCACAAGGTACTGGTCACATTTCTTCTTGCCCCGTTTGTACTTTGGATGGCTAGCAATGATGGCTTCGATCCTCCGCCCATCGGATGCCTCTCCTTGCTATTGGCATGAATCTCCCCATGACCCAACCAAGTCTAGCATCTTCTCAAGCATCAGGTACATGCTTCCACTCCCTATTTGGCTGCCCTCCGTGGTCACAGCTTTACTGGCAAACTTGACCCCTCTGCTTGGTGCTTCGTCTAAGTCCGATAGCGTGCCATCACTTTCTAACTTGCCATCCTCTTCAACTATGTCCGCCCAACTTCTCTTGCTACCATCACGCTCCATGTGTATGGCGCAAAGATAGGCTTTGGAATCCTCTACTTTCGGCTTAGATTCCAAGCGCATCCCCCCAAATGCAGGCGGTTTCTCATGTATCACCCTTATGTGCCTGAGCAAAGTTATTGTTGCAAGCTTCCCCAACTCTGGGCATTCACTTGCCCGATGTGATCCTTTACAGAAGTAGCACCCTCCCTTAGGCACGTACTCGCTACCGTTTTCCGGCCCCTTGCCGTTTCTCTTGGACCCCTGTCCGTTATGGGACGGCCCCTTGCCATTGCCCTTGTATACCTCGGCTATATATTTCCAGTTGTCTTTGTCATGACCTCCCCTAACTCTCTCGGCATTGTCTTCTTTGGACTTGGCAGGCTCCATCTTGAAGTCAACGAGTGACTCAGCTACCTCTATGGCCTCGTCCATGTTTGCTACTTGATGCCTTCTTAACTCCTGCTTTACCCAATTTTGCAACCCATCCATGAAGTAGAAGAGGGAATCTTCCTCGAACAATGACATGATTTGCAGCATTAAGGTAGTGAACTCGCGCATATACTCTCGAATTGCGGTCGTCTGTCGGATCTCCCTTAGCTTCCGCCTAGCCTCGTACACCACATTCATCGGGTAGAATTGCTTCTTCAACTCCTTCTTGAACTGCTCCCACGACTCAATTTTGCATAGCCTCTTCTCCATGTCAGCACACTTTCGACGTCACCACAGCGCGACGATCTCTGAGAGGTACCAGTGTTAATCTTGGCCTGGTCGTCCCTCACTTTGTTGTGCCTGAAGTAGTTCTCCAAGTGCCAAAGGAAATTCTCCACTTCTTGTGAATCACGAACACCTTTGAACACCGGGGGTTTGGGAGCCTCAATCTTGGCCTCTCTCGTCACCACAACATTGCTGGCAGCCTCGGTCACGCCAGCATCGATATGCTCATCGAGTGATTCTATCTTTGCCTTCATAGCATCGATAGTACTCAAAGCCTCCATGAGTCTGCACTCTAAGGCAGTGATGGTTTGCCTTAGGTCCATATCAGTCTGTGTACGTCCTTCCAAGTCATTTCGGATACTCTCAATCTCTTCAAGAGCGTGCCCCTTAAGAACGGTAAGGGTGCCTTCCACCTTCCCCAAGCATTGGTCAAATATCTCCACGGCGTTTATCCCCGCGTTTATCTTCATCACCTACTCTTTACAGAGCGAGATGTCCTCCGGCAGGACCTCCACTTCATCCTCGCTCGCCTCAGCAGCAGATGGTTCTTGGGATGTAAGCCCCTCTTTTGGCACAACCTCGGGCAGCACCCCCTGGCTCTTGTTGGTGGCATTCCTCTTTTTGTTACGGTCGTTCTTGTCAGCAGCATCCTGGATGACGTTGGCTTGGGTGTTGGCAGCGTTAATTTCTCCGTCGTTCGTCATTCCCTTAGTTGCAACCTTCGCTCTGATACCACGTTGTCACATCCTTAGTATTCAACTAAGCGCACGTGCGACACTTGACAACTTGCTCACGTTCTTGCTATGCCAAGTCAGCCTTACTACACTAATGATCGCTAAGGGAATATTCGAACACAGGAGAATTGAGAGATAACTTGATTGTTTTGCTTGGTGAATTACAAATGAATGGCCTCCATTATATACTAGTCTCCTAGGGGCTAGTGATTAGATAATAATTATTACACAAGTCCCTTATTATTTACAAGTATGACCCCTCTCTAGAATTTTCTACATAGCTAGAATCTTCCAAGAACTTTTCTAGCAAATCCATAGGGTTCTAGGGGCTTCCTAGAGACACCTCTATATTTCTCTAGAACTTTCCTACAAGTTCTAGCCTCTTTCCTATGTAAGCTTTCCATATGGCAAAAATATACGCCAAGTGGCACCTACATGGCATGATGATGTGGCGGGTCATGACAAGTGTCTGTGATTTCCTAAGCTGGGATCTTCTCAGTAAAAGTTGGAATGGTTGACAAAGAATATAATACGTGGAAAACCTGTCAGGTCAAGGTCAAAGCGCAGTACCATTCACCCTCCAAATATATGCGAGGCTATTTGACTTTCTAGGACAACATAACAACTCTTCAGATTAGATTTGACATTGATTTAATTTGAAAGTTAATCCAAGAGAATAAAATAACTACAAGATGTTAGATAGTTATCTGTAAATAATCCCAGTCCCATATGTAGTAGGAGTAGAATATGCCCTAATCCCATATGTAGTAGGAGTATAATATGTACTCCCTCCGTTTCAATTTATGTGAACGTATTTCCTTTTTAGTCCGTGCCAAAAAGAATGACCTCTTTCCTTATTTGGAAACAATTTACCTTTATGCAATGATTTATAGCCACACAAAATATATGTGCCTCATTTTACACCACAAGTTCAAAAGTCTTCTCTCTTCTCTCTTTTCTTAAATTCCGCGCCCAGTCAAATGGGTTCACATAAATTGAAACAGAGGGAGTATTATATATAGGGCTCATTGTATCATTTTTAAAAAATAGATTTTTCTCCCGTGCATTTTCACATGGTATCAGAGCTTCAGTGAGAAAACTATCGATGTGCGTCATTCCAGCGACATCTGGGAAGAAAGATCTCATCGCCGTGCAATTTTCCGACAACTTCGTCTTGTTCTCAGAGTTCATCCCTGCTACAGTGGTACTGTGCATATACCAGTACCACCATCAGATCTGAAACCCTTGTGCGACCAAACCCCACAAATCCCAGTCCCTTCAGAACAGAAAAGTCAGTCACCATGCGTCTTTCCGATTGACGACTCAAGAATGATTTGCATTATCTCTTTATCGGTAAGTCTTGTGCGAAAACCAACACTACCATCTTGTTCGGAAAAGTCAGGCGACAAAACCCCAGTCAATCGCTCTGGCAGAAAGTCCCTCACGCGCCTCCAAAACTAGGGTTCCGGCGAGCGCGTCTGACACATGCGCCGGTGCGTGTAGCACTTTCCAGCCAGATGTTTCAAAATTTTCTTTAGCACAGTTGTTTCATGTGGTGATTCTGAGTCCACCAGTACAATTTCCTACAAATTTCGAGAATTTGGAATTTTCCAGCGAGCTACAATAACTTTTCCGGCGTGTGTGAGCCATTCCTGCCACTTTTTGACAAAACTTTTTCAAGACAACTTACTCGTCCAGTGATTCCAAGCCTACCCATATAAATTACATCAAATTCTCACAACTTTTATTTTTTCCGGCATGAATAGTAATTTTCCGGCATGAACAGTTATTTCGAGAAAAGTTTCTGATTTCTAGTAGTATTTTAGAACCTATTTTGTAGTGTGGAATTTGGCTTAGTCTCACCATTTTCAAATTTTTCCGACGACATTTTGGCCAACTTGTGTTTATCAGCAACCACCTGGTTTTGTTGCTCAGGGGGAGTCTAGTGGCCTTGTATGATCAGCTTGCAGATATTTTCACCAAGTCCCTTACTGGTACTCGTATTAGTTACATATGTAACAAGCTCGATACATATGATTTGCATGCACCGGCTTGAGGGGGAGTATTAGATAGTTATGCGTAAATAGTCCTAGTCACATATGAGTAGGAATAGAATGTCCTAGTCCCATATGTAGTAGGAGTAGAATATGTCCTAGTCCCATATGTAGTAGGGGTATAATATGTATTATATATAGGACACATTGTATCATTGTTAAAAAATAGATTTTTCTCCTGTGCATTCTCACACAAGAAAATAAAATCATACCCAAATTATCATGGCCAAATAATTTCGTGAAAGTTCAGAAGTCATTGAAACTATGGACCCATTAGAATACTAATCAAACAAAGAGATCAATCATTTGACACTGCCCAAAATAGGGAGCAGGTTACCAAGATAACAACAAGGGAGTAGAAAGTGGACAAAAACTTGATGGGACTAAACTACGCTATCACAGGCCAGAATGTAATCTTCGATGGTGACTGAGTGAATATGTAATGAAGGTACATAAAACAGTTAAGTTACTACCTTAATGCATATGTGCCATATGTTCACCGTGCGATTCTTCTGTGGGTCCAGCGCTAATTCAATCATTCCATCACTGTCAGGCATTCCAAAGAAGTACATTAGCTCAGCATGCTTTAAGCAGATATACATATGAGAAGAGAAAATTTGAGTATGACCCCTCCAGGGCATATAGTTTTTGCCTTGGCAAGATGCTTGAACGGGTAGTTTCAAACTAGTTAACTGTTTTTGCAAGTGTATGATACTTTATCCTAAGTGTAACACGTCATTTGGACATTTATTACACAGTAAATGCATAATGGAATCTCAAGGTGATACGATGTCAACTACTACATAAGAAAATATCACGCTGGCTTCACCAGAAAACACAACAGCACTACATTAACATGCTTCTAAGTTGAGACTCGTACAGGAATATCCACTTTGAATTTGAATTTTAAAGAGAATGTCCAAAAACATATTTATTCTGATACACACGGTCCTCCATCTCTAAGATGGAAGTGCTGTACATATTGTTTACAATGTCTATAAGTTGCTTCACACTTGCTGTAATGCCCCACCCCCACCCCCCCTGTTGGTATAATTACAAGGGGAAATTAGTAAAAGGAAACATTTATTTTTCTCTAGTGATATATGTAGATGACAGAGTCATTATTCATTCAGTTAAAGAAACATGGTCACTTTCAGATTAAGTATTCAAGTATCTAAAATACTTACTTGGCAATAGGGTCGTGCCAGCAAGATATGATACTGTAATTTCACAAATGAAGTATGCACTAGATATTTTTAAATCTGATGGTAGGCCAGAAATATGGGTTTTTGGCTACTTTGCACCTATTATTTGCTACAATTTAATTGTGTTTGAGCTAAAATATGGATAATTTATACTCATTACGTGTTTTATGTTGTGTAGGCCGTGATTTTGAGCTAAGACGAGTCTTTGGAGCAAAACTAAGTAAAATAGGACTTCGAAGTCTGAGTAGAAGTTCAAGGATTAAGCCAGGATCGAGTTCGAGTGCCGAGGACCGAGCATACATAAGAAAAAATGAAAAAACAAATTCAAAAATGAAATAAGGCTGCCACGTCGTGCTAGCCGAAATGTGGCACCTAGTGGCTGTGCAATTTTGCAGCATAAGGCAAAAAAACTTTAAGTTTTTGAAGTTGGCCATTGACACAAAGTGAGGGATGACGTGAGCTATGAGGTGGCTGCCAATTCCTTTGTTGTCAGGCAGCAAAATTTCACTTTAATTGAACCTTACGGATAAGTCCCAATAACACGACGTGCAGTGTGTTGCGCTAGGCAGCGAACCAGTGAAATATTTTGCCCAGTTATCCCAATTCGGCTCAGAGAGATTATTTTGGTTCAGGGCCGCTCATACTCGGTATAAATACACTTTAAACACAATTTTTTAAGGGGATTCGACCTAGGAGAGTTTTTGAGAGCTACTACAGCTTGAATACACAAGATTTCATCACTTCTCTTGCCAACAATCAGCGCAAAACCGGAGCTTGTATTGTAAAGTTGTCTTTGATGTTTTCTATATTCTTAAACTTCTTTGTGATGAATTTTTCCATATCTATGGAGTAGTTCTTCCTTAGGGTTTTGACGGATATGGTGTTTTGATTGATATTTGAGAATTTAACTCTAGTTTAATTGCATGAATTCGTTAATAGAGCTTTGAATTGTTTGCAACTTTATTTACCGGCTTATTTAATGAAAAATGAATATTTTGGTGATTATCTTTACATTATTTTATTTGGTTTGATTTAGTGATTCTTGTAAATAATCGAGAGAGCTTTTTGAATTGTTGATTAAACCAAGTTAGGAGAATATTCGAATGACGTTTTCCTAAACACTAGTCCATTAACGTGTTCTTGTATATCTTCATAGTGCTTCATATTAGTTTATCTCGTAGAGTTCAGATTTAATCGAGAGAGGAATCTTGACCTTACATTTAAACTAATCATCGAGTAAATTCGTGAGAATCATTAGAACATTAGAAGTGAATTTAAACAGAGTTAAATCTCGAATGACTATCTTGCACATATCCTGTCATAGCCCTTATTTCTCACATTGATAGCAACCCGTTTAGAGCAACTCTCTCATTCCCTGTGATCAAGTCTACTTAGTCGTAATCTAGTTTAGTTCATTAATCATAGTTGTTAATCACTCCAAATCAAAGTGTTACTCAGCTTGAAAAGCAAATAAGCCAGAAATTACTCGAACGTTGTTTAAATCCAATCCCTGTGTAGACGATATTTTACTATACTATTTTTGACTAGCGAGCTTCAGTTTTACACGTCGGTTTTGCGCTCGTGTAGACATATTTTACTATACTATTTTTGACTAGCGAGCTTCAGTTTTACACGTCGGTTTTGCGCTCGTGTAGACATATTTTACTATACTATTTTTGACTAGCGAGCTTCAGTTTTACACGTCGGTTTTGCGCTCGTCAAATTTTGGCGCCACTGTCGGGGATTGGCAATCAATAGTGTTCTAAATAGTTTTTGGTGTTAATTCAGGAATTAGCTTTTATTTTTTTATTTTTTTTAATCAACTTGTCTTCAAGATTTCTTTTGTATTACTTGACAAATGCTTGGGAGAAAGCTTGAAGAAAATATTCCTAATATTAACTCTTATTGCTGTGAAGATGGAGTACAACCAGCCTAAGAAACGGTTGCAGAGTTAGCAGTTGAACATTATCATAAGTCTGCTATTTGTTTTAAATATAGTGAAAATCATCTATGGGTTGACTGTCAAACAGGTAAGTATTCCTCATACTGTTCATCTTTTGAAAAGTTGCACTCTGTTTCAAGTCCTTACAAGTATGAGGTTTCATATGGGCACAATCTTAACTCTGGATGGAACGGGTACCCTGGTTATGACTGGAATGAAAGTGAAATGAGACAACCACCTCAAGAGGAAAATGGCCGTTTAGAAAAGCTTATGTATAAGTTCATGAATAATGTGGAAGAAAGACTTATACAAAATGATGAAGCCATTAAGAACCTAAAACAACAATTGAGTCAAATAGTAAGTATACATTCAGAAAGCTCATTGCATTGTGATGGTGAATATATGGAGGAGATACCCTGTGAGAATGAGCCTACCCAAGATGGTGAGCATAACAGAGATAACTTTCCACTCTGCAAGAAGACTCTGATTCAATTAAGATGATTGAAGATGAGGTTTTGGTTGATTGTGAAGCAATAAAAGAAGAGTTCCAACCCCCATCCACCTTTCCACATTTACAGGTTATACTAGAAAATAATGAGAAACAAATCGTCTTTGACATCTTGGAGGAATATTCTCATGACATTTTTTCTTTGCTTTCTTATTCTAATATTGAAAATGTGGATTTTATTTTTGGGAATTTACAGGCAGATGCACAGAGTGATCCTGTAGAAGAATGCAGGAACAAGTTGAGGATCATCCTGAAAGAACAATTCACCGCTCAAAATGAGGCCAAGAAAGAAAGAAAAGAGCGGGTCTTGCAGATATCCTCAGACGAATTGGGCCTAATGAGCTCGATAAAGAATCCCAAGAAGCGAAAACGAGGAATAAATTCAGAATTAGGGGTTAGTTCATAAGTTATCGAAAACGAAAAAAATTCAGGGGAGTTTCCTTTACTTCATGCCTTTTATTTGTGTGTCATGGGGACATTCCACAATTTATAGTGTGGGGTGGGGGATGTAAATATGTGTAGTGTATTTATTTTCCTCTTATCTTTGTGTGTTTTTCGTCATTCTTTTAAAAAAAGATTTAGACTTTTTCCGACGATGGATCTCCTAGACAATTTCCTTGAAGGATTAACGTAAAAATAAGAAAAAAAAATCAAAAAAAATTAAAAAACCAAAAATATGTCTTTTATGTTTTTTTATAGGTAGTGTAACACTTCCGCCTTGGTTTTTCTTTGTGTCGCGGTTCTTTTCCAAGGGTTTTTGCTTGAACCGGGTTTAGTTAGTTTTTCTTTTTGTAGGAATAAAGAATCTTGTGTTTTAGTCCTAATTGGGGGCAATCTTTCTTGACTTTGTTGTGCCTTGAGACGGTAAGTGCCTTAGCTGTGACACCAGGCTCATGTTAAGATATATAACAATTCCTAATTTTTCTTTCTTAACTCTTATTGTTGTGAACATGGAGTACAACCAGCCTAAGAAACGGTTGCAAAGTTAGCAGTTGAACATTATTATAAGTCTGCTATTTGTTTTAAATATAGTGGAAATCCTATGGGTTGACTGTCAAGCAGGTAAGTATTCCTCCTATTGTTCATCTTTTGAAAAGTCTCACTCTGTTTCTAATCCTTACAAGTATGAGGTTTCATATGGGCACAATCTTACCCGTAGTACTGGGATTATTTTAGTATTTTCTTATTCATGGTTCTTTATTATTACATGATGTGCCATTCGCGCGAACAGAGAAAGTTATAAGGAAGCTAAGAAGGTGGCGAAGTTAGCGGTCACGGAAGCTAAGAATGCAGCGTTTGGTCGCATGTACGAAGAGCTGGGGGACAAAGGCGGGGACAAGAAGTTGTTCCGCTGGCCAAAGGGAGAGAGAGGGCGCTCGTGATCTAGACCAAGTGAGGTGCATCAAGGACGAGGAAGGCCGAGTGTTGATGGAAGACGCTCAGATTAAGCGGAGGTGGCAGACGTACTTTCATAAGCTGCTGAATGACGAACGGGACAGAGACATTGTGCTAGGAGAATTGGAACACTCTGAGAGTCACCGAGATTTTAGCTATTGTAGGCGCATTAAGGTCGAGGAGGTTGTAGGGCTATGCGTAAGATAAGCGGGGCATAGCGACCGGGCCAGACGAAATTCCAGTAGAATTTTGGAGGTATGTGGGTGGCTAACTGGGTTGTTTTATGTTATTTTCAGGACGAAGGAGATGCCAGAAGAATGGAGGTGGAGTACGATGATACCGCTATACAAGAACAAATGCGATATGCAGAACTGTAACAACTATAGAGGCATCAAGTTACTAAGTCATACCATGAAAGTGTAGGAGAGGATAGTGGGAGTGAGGGTGAGGAGGCTGGTGTCGATATCCGATAACCAGTTTGGGTTCACGCCTGGTCGTTCTACCACGGAAGCTATCTATCTTATTCAGAGGTTGGTTGAACTGTACAGGGAA